CAGAAATCAAATGAAAAACATGTTGGTTTTACAATGTTCAGGGATTATGACTATCAAGTAGTGGAATCTATACAGAAATCACATGAAAACATGTTTGTTTTACAATGTTCAGTGAATATGACTATCAAGTAGTGGAATCTATACAGAAATCAAATGAAAAACATGTTGGTTTTACAATGTTCAGGGAATATGACTATCAAGTAGTGGAATCTATACAGAAATCAAATGAAAAACATGTTGTAAATCTAGGTATATTACTATCAAGCAAGGAAGTTTGTATTTACCTCTTTGATGATGGTGCTGATCATCGTGACAATAGCTGAGAGTAAATCGTGATCCACACAGAAGGCACGTGACTGTATATATATATTGTTGATATCCAGTCCTAGCCCTCCTTCTAATGGACTACCATTATTTATCACAAGTGATTCCACCGGATCTGTTAATTTTTTTAGCAATCTGCAAATATATTTGATCATATTAAAGGGACAGAAACAGTCTAATAAACAAGATCAATAAGCCAATCAGTAATACCATTCACAGCTCACCGTCGAAATTTGGGGTTTCAAATCCATGTGTGTCGAGAAATAACTGCGTTTGAAAGTTAAAAAGACAAGTTGTCTTTTCTTGAGACAACGCCATATATAGAAAATACATCTATAGAAATAGGAAAAGAAATTCCTTCTTTGAGATATTTTTGAAGGAATAAGGCGATTTTCTTACATTTCTAGTACTTCTGAAGACTATTTACATATAAGATTTGAACGACATATAGAAGCAAGGAGCACATAGACAATATTATGGAATATAACACTCTTCTTTAATAAAGTTGGGCACATAACGTTTCAACACTTCATCAGCAGACGACACGTGTATATTGTGTTGAAACGTTATGTGCCCAACTTTATTAAAGAAGTGTGTTATATTCCATAATATTGTCTTGTGTTTTGTTATATTTACATATATTCAAGACTCAAATCTAACCTCAAGATGTTAATCTACTTACTCGATGGCATTTTGAAAAGTTTCCAAATCTTTGGTACTTTTAAGTAAAGGCACCAAATCCTGAAAATGAAAGCCCCAATTGTAATGGAGATTTTTTTAGAGGAGGCTGCATTTTTCAACAGAAATTGGCTGCTTCACACAATAAAAGTGACAGAGTGGAAAAATGATCATAAGAATTAAGATACCCCATTGTTAATTGTAAAACCATTTGCTAATGTTAATTGTATACCACTTTGTTAATGGTCATAATAATTAAAATACTCCATTGTTAATTGTATATTAATTGTATACCACTTTGTTAGTGGTCATAAGAATTAAGATACCCCATTGTTAATGATATATCAAATTGGACTCACATTTCCAATAATGTTGAGAGTTGAAAGGACTTGACGTGATTGAAGTTTTTCAGAATCGGCTTTCAATATCCGGATAATCTCCTGCAATATTTCTGAAAACAAATTTTTGTCAGTTAAAGGAATTGGAAAGAGGTTCTCATGTCTTTTTATATGTATTTGGGTCACTAACAGCATCTATTTGCATCATTCCGATGTTAAAGTGATACTACAAATTAAGAATTTTGAACTTGGCGAATAAGAGCCTGTAGATATATCTGGTGTCATAAATAACATAACAGAATCCTTATATAATCCGATAAATCCAAAAAACTTAATAATTATCAATAAATATGTAATTAACTATTGAAAAACGCTTAATATCAAGATTAAATGTATGAATATATACTCATATTGACCTTTTCCAGGCCTTTGCTAGAAAACTTGTTAGATTACAATAAAGAATAAAAATATTAGAAAATGAAAAAGATCCGAAATTATTAAATTGGATTGGACATGATGTGGTAATTCTGAATCTCTGGACTTACTTAGCCACTAGACTATACAATGGAATAAAAATCCCCAACAAAAAATAAGAAGGGAAATTATGGAAGTCTATGGAGCTTACCTGGGCACTCTGTTGAAGCTTTATAGCTATTTTTAGATTTATAACCTAAACATGACTGGAGAGCCGAGAGGCCATTACCATTCATCATTTGCATCTCCATGTTGAAGATTATTAGTTAGTTCTGAAACCACAAAATGGTCATTATTTCGTATTTTTTAGTAAAAACATGAAGTTTAGAAATAAAAAATCTGAGAAATGTTCTTGTCCATGGTAGATAAGATCCCCTTTCATTAACTCCCTGAAGGGAGCCGCGGTGGTTCAGTGAGTTAGAGGCTTGCTCGCTAACCTGAAGGTCCAGGGTTCAATCCCCGCATAGGTCGAGATAATACCTTAGGATTTTTCAACCCGGTTTCCCCCTGTCAGTGATTCAGGTTAGAGGGGTTGACATGGAAAAAGCATCTAGTCGTTCGGATGGGACAATAAACCAAGGCCCCATGTGCTACAGGCTGTGCATGTTAAAGATCACTCGACAGTTGGAAATTGAAAAAGAGCAGGCTAATGGCAAAATTTCCCTCATTGCACCCTGCATGGCGTTGCCCGTCTTCAATAGCTCACATGTTGCAGAAAAGTAGGAAGTAAAACTCCATTCATTTCATTTCATTAACTCTCAGAAGCAATCGCTTTTTTAATCATTTGTTTATCTTGTAAATCTCTCCAGAAAATTCCAGTTTCTGACTCTAAAGTATGACTGGTCAAAAAGAATGGCACATTTGTCCCTTTAAGGACAGCACTCAAAAGAAGTACCGGTATCCCTGTAAGGGAAATTGTTTCCAATCAAATATCAAACCCATTAGTTTTTTAGTCCTTTAGTGGAACATCAGGTAATGGGCTTGATAGTGCTGACACGATATTATCGATACATGAAGATACCTTTTAATCCATAAAAGTTGGTGAATGGAATCACAGATTTTTTTTCACTGACTTGACTGAAATTTATATATCTAAGAGAGTGGGCATTAACCACTTCTATCAACTATATTACCACATATCACTGTTATAAAGTTCCAATTTTTATCCAATTCTACCAATCGTACCTTAGTTTTAGAAACAGGAATTTTTTAGCTAAGCTAATCATTCACCATCAAAGTTTTCTGAAGACTTCGCCATATATAGAAAACATCGAAATAGAAAGTGAAATTTCAAGAACTAGAAAGGATTATGTGATTTAAGAACATTTATAGTACTTCTGAAGACTATTTTCATTCATTCAAGATGAGATTCAACCACTGCAAATACTCCTACTGTAAGCTTAAAATCTAATGCCTGAAAGCATTATAGTCGATCTGCCAAGTCTGCGGTCACAAATAGGGGGCAGACTGACCCAATAAGGGTTCAAAAGCCCTCCCTGTACCCCCACGGGTGCTGCCACTGATTATGGTCTAGTCTTTCGGGTGGAACTATTATCTACAGGCTGTGTACATTAAAGATCACTTGACAGGTGGAAGTGGAAAATGAACAGGCTAATGCAGCTGTCATGGAAAAATTTCCCTCATTGCACACTGAATGGCAATAAAATTCATCATCATTAAGCCAATTCATTTCATTCATTTACTTAAAGAATATTATGACTATATCATATCGACTCGAATATATATATATCTTATAAATTATATATATAATATATACTCATAAATAAATTATGACACGTGACAGAGTGTATGAACGAATAAATTAGAATAAAACGGCTTGAATTGTTCATATCTTCCAAAATATGATGATAATTCGTTCAGAAGACACTTTTAGACACTGTCATACCCCAAATATGGACCAAATGTGCCCAATTTTGTCGGGTTTGGGCTAAAACGGGTGTGACCCATTTAATAACAATCGATATGTTATGAAACAAAACTGAATAGCCTACGTATATACACTCGAGGTTAACCTTGAAATTTTCAGAATTTGACAGCCCGTTTCGCAAGGATTCCGATTGGAATGGATCAACAAGGATTTAACAAGGTTCCAAAACATAAATCCCCTAAAGCTTACCTTTTTTGCGTGAATTTTTCACTTTGAGAATAGATTTATTCCGTTTTAACCCATCTACACATCTACCTATAGAGTATTATGGTTGACAATTTTTCACATTTCTAATTAGGTCACACGCGTGCGGAAAGTGTCGATCGAATCTCGATAAGGTAAATTGAAAGTAGAGAATAAATTAAACCAATTGACACTTCGATTAAACTTGTAAAATGAAAAATCTGAAAAAATGTAAGAAAATCGAAAAATGTTAAGTGAAAATTCCAAAGGAGAAAAAAGGCATGGTGAACTCAGAATTATTTTTAATTTTTTGTTATCTCATTTCATCATATTCAAAATAAAATTCCTATTACATGCCATTTGTCTTAAAATGGGGACATATGTCAAGATATATTCTATTTACTAAGCGTGGCAAATAGACACTGTCCGTTAAAAAACTTCGGGTCCTTTAGAAATATTTTGGAAATCTTGGAATTTAGATATTGTCTTATGACAATTTGCCACCCCACCCCTGTTCAATCATCCCCTCTACCCCCAAGCAGTTCATTGAAACGCTACTGACATACGTACAAAAGCCAGTTTTAAGAACCATTGGTTTTATATTCTTTACTATTGTCAATTCCGTCATCATTAAGCTGGCTATATATATAATCAATATATAATCAATTATCACTCTATTACATCTATTAATAGTAAGAAAGTTCCTGGTTGATTGTACAGTATACTTGGGATACCTTTAATTCCATATTAAGGTGGAGATTTGTTTTAGTTGTTTATGATATAACAATTGCTTCCACTGAAATTGTTAGAAACTTTTTATAAGACAGTGGACATTAACCACTTCTATCAACTATATTACCAAATATCACAGTTATGAATTAATGTATATAGAAATTATGAAGATAAAATGTTAATTTTTAACCCATTACCCCATAACGTGACATGTATCCTATCGTGACACTTGTATTGTGATACCTATCATATCGTGACCCTTGTATTGTGATATGTATCGTGACATGATTGACAATACCCAGCACTAAGACAAAAGACATTTTGTTTCAAAGTATATTTATTTTTCAAATTATTCCCTCAAAATCTTTTTAAAAGAAAATAACAAATTTATTCAAATATAACAATTATAAGATATAAAAATAATACAAAACTTTATTAGTAATTCTATAACAAGTTATTAACAATATTTATCAAGCATTTAGGCAACGTATTTGCTCAATCACCTAATAGAACTCACTTTTAAAAGGGACCAATTTAACTTAAGTTATTTGATAACGAGTTATTGAAATATATATTGAGCATTTAGGCAATGTTAAAGGGAATACGTGTTTAAATATTTGCTTTACTTTCTTAAAGAACTCCATTTAAGCTGTAAGTATCACTTTGTAAAAGTAAAATTTCATGTATGGTTTCTCAACAATCCAATAAAACATTAAAAGAAAACTTATTTCCCAATCAAATGCATAGAGTCTCACAACATTTAAAAATAAATATGGATTGAAAAAAAAATCTAAAAAAAAATCTAAAAAAAAATCATTGCAATAAAACTATTTGCTAATAATTAACTTGTTTATTATGTTGACATCCCAGTTGCAGAGTGGCACCAATACCCCATAAAGGATTGCATGATAATTATCAAGAGATTGTTTCTTTTTTGGCATTTTACCTCCAAATACTATAAAAAATATACCAAAAAACTGCCAAATTCACCAATTCCTGTTTAACCCTGTAAACACTGTAGTGTGAAAAACCTTAAAAATCCATCACACACCGTGAATTCAAAATTATATAACTTAAGTGTTCAGCTGATGTGACATCACTTGGTATTAGGGGGTGAAAGTCATCACCAGTCTGATTCATAAAAGCACTAATCGAGGCATCAGAATTTTATGTAAAAACCACTTAAGACATCCCTGTAATTACCAGTATATTGAAAGAGTTAAGAACACTGAAAAAGCCCCTATCTATTTACAAATAAAACCATTGGGGCCCAAATTCACATATCCCCCCACACCCTCTAAAAAAAGACAGAATTGCAAAAAAATAAAATCAGCCAAGAAGCAATCTAGTCTCTTTTGACAGCAGCCACTGTTTTATCTTTAGAAGTGTCAATGAATTCTTTACCAGTCATGTCTGTATAGTTTCGACATTCTCTGATGGCTGAGTTGGGTACCTAAAAAATATGGGGAATAAAAATAAAAAGACATTTGGTCATAAAATTCCACAGAAATAGTACAAACTTAAAGCCTTCATTGCTTTTTTAAAATGGTCAAGGGTAATAATTAAACAAAAAAACAAACAAAATGCATTGTGCGATCAGGTAAAAAAAAAGAAAATAAATCTCCATTTCATGTGATTTCATTAAAAAGTTGTCTCTATCACGTAAAAATCCTTACATGGATGTTCAACGTCACAGAGACCAATACATAACCAAATGGGTAGCTTCTGTGTTCAGAATGTATTACTGTACCTTATGTAATTTAGTATATTGAGGATGATGATGTTCATAAACTGGATTATTGCTGGCTTTATTATAGGCCGGTATAAACACCCAGCGTCTCATGTCACTGTGGTTTGGAGCACTGGTGTGAAGCAGATTACAGTGGAAAAATAGGGCATCACCTGGAATTGAAATATAACGATGATTATTGAAGGGTGCATGAGTTTGATGACATTTACCCTTGATACAACAGTAAATATCTCAAAAGATAGCTTGCTAGGCAATGTAACGTACGCCCACTGGCAGCTGTCAGAAATGATTAAACAGTCTTTAGTGACTACAGGGTTGCACAATATAGCTAATAGAGTGAAACGTCAAGTCAGACACGATATTTCGTTGAAATATTATCCGATCATCGCGAAAATCAATAGGGATCATCTTCATAATGACATTGACATACAAAATAAAAATCAAAAGAATCTGTAAACAATTGTAGCCTGTAGAGTGAGCACGAGTTGCACAATATAGCTAATAGAGTAAAACGTCAGACACGATATTTCGGTGAAAAATTATCCGATCATCATGAAAATCGATAGATCATCATGAAAATCAATAGGGATCATCTTCATAACGACATAGACATACAAAATAAAAATCAAAAGAATCTGTAAAGAATTGTAGCCTGTAGAGTGAGCACGAGTTGCACAATATAACTAATAGAGAAAAACGTCAAGTCAGACACGATATTTCGGTGAAAAATTATCCGATCATCACGAAAATCAATAGGGATCATCTTCATAATGACATTGACACACAAAAAAAAATCAAAAGAATCCATAAAGAACTGTAGCCTGTAGAGTGAGCACGAGCCAAATGTGAACGGACGGACGGACGGGGTGATTACAATATACGCCCATCTTACGTCTGGGCGTATAAAAATATCTCCCTTTAGAAAATTGGCCGGAAAAAGGGACTAATACATACAATAACAAAAAAGAAAGAAGAGACCAATTTTTTTACTAGGATACCAACTAAGGTTCACAAGGAGTCTTTCAAGAGCTGGTCCTTGACCAATCCTCTCTTGGATCTTTCCCAGATTATCCATACTCATTTACTGATGGCTTGACTATATAACATATTCAGTGTCACCAGACACTCACACACCGGCCTAAATTAGAGCCCACAACTACCATCTGTTTAATGTAACCAACCTGCATCAAGTTCCACATATTTGTGAGGAAAGACTTTCTGCAATTCTTTGACTCTTTCCATATCGGCGCCAGTCTGTCCAGCAACCATCAAATGTTCAATACGCCCACACTTATGCGATCCGTCCAAAATCTACAAACAAATAAATTTTAGTTTGCAATATTGAGTTAAAAAATGTTGTGGAATAGCTTAGTCAGTAGCAAGTCTAATTGTCGTCTGCTAGGCCATTACGTTCTGTATCTTAATTGGTTTTTCTAAAAAGTTAAGAATGAAAATCGTTCATATAATGTCGTGGGCAATATCGATTTTGTCATTACAGTTTGTTCTTCATTCTATTGGCCGTTGATTTTGGCCTTACCTCCAGGCAGCCATTTTCTTTGATACATTTATCTATTGGTAAAAATACACTGAGCATATCTGGAAACAGGCAGCCATTTTTATACCAGTAGCTAAAAGAAAAAAATATATTTTGAGGATGGCTTGTAGCCCAGTTGGTTAGAGTGTAAAAACTCTTTAGTCATTTGCATGGTTATGTCAGATATATGACGGTACATCAATTAGAGCATTTGTGAATTTGGCGAATGCCTGTTTATGTCTAACAAATGGTGGTTGTGGGTTCTAATTGCAGTAAGTGTATGAAAGCGCAAAGTCATTTTTCCAACGACCCAGACCATTAGTAAATGGAATAAAAAATATCAAGTAAAGATCAATGCCTAAAGGTTTGGACAAAGACCAGCTTGTAGAGTGGGAATGGTGCACATCGAAGCTATCAGTGTCCCAAAAAGTTTAAGAAACTGCTTGACAATCCCTTTTTAACACTTTTTACCTACCCATAATCTTGGTGCCAAACATGGCGTCCACCAGTTTTTGGATTTTTCATCATTAGTTTAGTATGGTAGTGGTACACCTCACCACCTAGGAGCTAGAATAAAACCACAATATATCAGTCCTAAACTTTCATCTTGGATCATAATCAACAGACACTGACAAATTCAATCTAAAATCATCAGCAACATCAATCAGTGTGCAATGTGAGAATTCTTATGTAACATCAGTAAAAGTTAACATGTCATGAAGTGTGCAATGAGGGTAATTTTTTTATCAGGATAGCATAAACTTTGCTACTGAGGACCATGGCACTACCATGAAGGCGATGGAATATCAGGAATATCACAGACCTGTTCTGCAGTTCCAGCTAGCTTCTCAGTGCGTACCAACATACCAGTAACATCATTTCCAGGATGGCTCCACAATGCCAGTCTACTGTATCCATTTTCACCATCTGGTAGCTACAACATTATAACATGAAATAGAATTTGGCCAAGAACCAGTTTCAATGCAATGCAGTTTGTAATTTTTTGTAAGACAGTGCCCTTCATCTACAGTTTTCCCATTTCCAAGAGCACAGCACAGCCTGCAGCAGATGGGGCCTCAAAAGGAAATGATCTTCCTTGTTGAACACCTGATACCACACAATGATTTCCACATGAGAGTCCTAATTATGTTAAAAGTAATCCTCTTAAAAAATTCATGAACAGAATGCCCCAACTTACCCCATAAGCACTGTCTGTAAGGTCATTTTTACATTCGACAGCTTTTTTAATATTGTTTAATTCTTCAACATCTAATAATCCTCTAGAATAAAACAAAACAATGCATAATGGAATCTATGCTTGTGTATGCTAATAGGCATAAGACAATGCATAGACATAGACATAGGGCATAGGCAGAAACACCTTTAACATCATTGTTCAATCTAATAAAAGAACAATTTTGTTTTCATTTTTATGTTAGTCAGTAAAACTCTAAACCAATTTCAAAATTCTCATCATATTACACACGGAAAAAAATTGTCTTTGAGCCACCTTGAAAATTTTGTGGTCCCTTCTAGGTCCCAGTCCCGTTGTTAGGGAGGAGTCCGTGAATCAAGTCCCAGCAAAACCTTCAGCTCAGCAGAGATTGATTTATTTTCAGTGTCTTTGTACAAAATCAAAAATATATGTATTTTGATATGTTTTTGGCACCTCAAAATTGTCAGAAATGAGTTCTCTTTAATTACAAAATCTGAGCCCCAGCACCAATTCATTCCTGGCGAGGGGGCTGCTAGGTCCCCTCACCATTCATAGAAACACCACTGTCATATATATCCACTTTAAGGTAAAGGAGTGGAAAGATAAGTCTAGTCAAACTAACTTGATGATAATATATCCCCCTTCTTCATAATCATTTTTCATTTGGTCTGTAACTTTAAAATCTTCTGAATATTGGTAAGCTGAAATTTGAATGAAATTTTTTTGGCATATATCTCTCGCGAGAAAACCTAAATACTCTTAAAATCTATAATGGCCACCCCATAGTTTGGCAAGCATTTTAGGATAAAAAAAACTATAACTCAAAGTAAATTAGACTAAGTTAGATAGTTTGCCATCATCTTTTTTATTTTGCAAGCACTGACATCGGAATTAAGTTAGAAACTGATTTGCTAAGAAGCTTAGGCTAACTGCAATTCAACCAACCAGTTAGTGTACTAGATTAAGTAATGATGTTTTTGACAACTGCACTCTAAATATTAGGCAGCAATAACATTTATAATCCTTGTGGACGATATGCACCTACTTTCCCCTACCGATTTCTCTCCAACTGTCATTTTGCGTTTTGACCTAATTTCTGCAAATGGGGTGCTTAACCATAGAACTGTATACTGTTCTATGGCTTGATACAAAGAGACACTCCCAGTTGAACTGACAGTGAGACAGAAGAATGGAACGGGTTTCCCACAGCAACTGCATGTCGAGTCTAATAAGTTGGCAAGTGCAACTCCAAATGACAATGACATAAAATGACATCTCGAAAAAGTTAGACACAAGCCTCACCTCTCGACATTTTGAATCTTCAACGTCTAACCTGGTCAATGACGGATTTATCAATAGCTGTTATCGGTTTGTTATCGTCTGTTTTCAAGGTCTGTCTTTTTTGTAAAAGGTAAATCCGGTTGGAGTTTTCTTTCCTATTGATAAATTTCGGCCTTGACCTTCTAGCAATATCAAATGCTATATATAGGGATACATGGACGTCTTACGTTCAGACATTTATATAACGGTATTCGTTTCGTTTGGACATAATAAAATCTTACGCTTTTCCAAATACAATTTGTGTAATTCTACACGAGGATGTCTAACAAATATGTTGAAAAATAAGCGATACACATTTTTTTTGGCAGTATCGGGTGCTCTGAAAATGTGAGCATCACATAACAGCTTACAACAACGACCAACGTCAATGGAATTTTTGGATTAAGACTTAGGCCTACCTTAACTGGGGAAGAGATTTTACGCTTCAATTTTAGATTCTGGATTTCAGAGATACCCAGTCTACATCAAAGTTTGTTTATGATAACAATAAGTAAAAGTACAATACTGATAAATACATAGTATAATAACCCAATTTATCACACAACAGTACTGTTCTCGGGTTCATAAAAACGATTTAACTAGTAGCACAGGTTAATAACTATGCAAATCAGGACAGATGTTCATGTACTCTGTACCATGGCATCCTTTTGAAGTTGACTTGAAGGTAAAGTATCAAAATCTGGCAACTCATTTCATAAAGTTCATATTACATAACGATTCGTTGAAGATCCTCCATTGAATAAAACATTTTGATATTGTTATCATTATAAATACGATAGTAGGTAAACGTGCATGTCATCACGTTATTCGCTTCGTTATTCAATATAAGCAGTATTGATCAGTATTGATCAAACGAGTACACTATTAATTTCCCTTCGGTGTTTGAAGACGATATCGTCTAATTGCACGGTGGTTTGTACGGTGGTTGGCACGAAAGATAAAAAGGGGTGGGGACTTCTGATTAGACAGCAGATATTATGCACATGTAAGGTTGTAAACTCCAAAATCGTAGAAACTCCTGAGAAAGGTGAAAATCGAAAGTAACCAGTCTAGATATAGGTCTTCTCGGTGGCGCTTTTGTGAATCATTATGTGAGGGGGCAAAGCATGGGCCACAAAATTATTAAAGTGGGGGTAGAAGGGAGGGGTAGAAGGGATCAAAGCTGGGGAAGCTAAGTTCTAATGCCCATGTTCCCTTCGAAGGAACACACACCATTGCCTCTTCTTAAACTCACGGCAATGTCTGATCACATCAGATGGATGAATCCTGCTATTTTCAATGTTTTATGCCCCATACAATTAATAAGTCAATAATAAGCCCCATCATAAAAAATGAAAAATGATAAAAAGTTCGTAATGTTTTTACACCAAAATCACTCAATATACACTGACAAGCAGACGAACAACCGATTAACTCTTTACGTTGATCTCTTTAAGATGCGAGTTCTGGCGTTTCTCCTTCGTCAACAATTCTTTCCCGCTCGCATCCCATAATACACCACAATCCAATATGGCGGAATTGGGAACCTGCAAGATTCGAGTGTACAATTGAAACATTGAACGGTTCTTCAATAGAGATTTTCACACGGTGCAGAAAAGTAGGATGTAAAACTTCATTCATTTAATTCATTTAGTCAGAACACTGCTATTTCGTTCCTAGTATCGCCAGATTGTTGTTCACGCAAGCAAGAATCAATCATTACCAGTTACTGACGGTGCATGTAGTGTTAAGGATTCCCAGCCCCTTCTCTTAAATAAAGCTCATTGTTGTTGGAGTCTGTAGTGAAGGAAGTCTAATGTTATGTACATTCCTAAGGTGTTACCCAATGTTTTGCTAATTGTACGTGGTGACTAAAAGATCTTAACAGAGTTCATTGTTGTTGGGAACTGCCCTTAAAACTAAAGAAAAATGCACAGGATACCTTATGAAGAGGTGTGTAGTTTGGATGGTGGTGTTCCTCTACTGGATCGTTGGTAGCCTTGTTGTAGGCGACTAGAAAAGCCCATCGTCTCTCCTCGCTGAGATTTGGACCACTGTAGTGGAGTAAGTTACAATGGAAGAACAGAGCATCACCTACACAAATATAATGGAAGTGTTATCCCGACATTTTGGTATTTCTTAGAATAGATATTGTGTGGTGTATTTGGAATTGGTTTGATTCCGAACAGTAATGCTGATGAGTCGAGGTTTTAGGAATAGCTACTTACTATAGCTGGTCGAGTGATGTCTATGAAACACCACTAATTCGTTATGATATTGAATACGATGCCACTAGTAAGGTGGTCCTGCAGATTTGATATACTTAGTTATAGTTTAATGATGTTCTTTTGGGTTGGAGAAGAGGATACTGAAGAATAAGCAGGTATAGTAGATGATGTTCTGTAGGGATGTTGAAGAGGATACTGATGAACAAGCAGTCATTGATGATGTGATGTGGAGATGGAGAAGCGGATACTGGAGAACAAGCAGGTATAGTTGATGATCTGTTTAATGATAATGAAAGGGATACTGATTAACAAGCAGTTATAGTTGACGACACTTTCTTACGCGAAGATGCGGATGAATTAGTAATTATACTATAGTTGATGACGTACTGTAGTCGAAGAAGACACTGATGAACACGCACTTATTACAGGTGATGATACTATCTTAGCATGGTTGAGAAGATACAGATGGCAGGTACAGTTTGATGTTCTGTAGATATGGTGAAGAGATATTGAAGCGGATACTGATGAACGAGTAGTTAAAGTTGATGATGTTTTATAAAGATTGTGAGGAGGATACTGACAAGTAGTTATAGTTGGTGATGTTCTGTACGGACAGTGTATAGGCGATGATGTGCTGATGGTTTGGAGAAGTGTTTATTTGAAGCTTCTGTAGAGATACTGAAGAACAAACAGTTATAGTTGATGATGTTCTGTTAAGATGGTGCAGATGATACAGATGAACAGGTAGCGGTGTGCTGCTGGTTTGGAGAAGTGTTGATTTGAAGCTGCTGGTGCTATTTATCCTGGTGTTAATGATGCCGACAATTAGAAGGATACAGACTGTATACCAAAATTTCGAAATTATGTTTCTATGGATCACTGGACCATATTAGATGATGATGCTGATGCTGATGAGTGTTTACCAGGATTCATCTCCACATATTTCTTCGGGCAAACTTTTTCAATCATGTTGACTCTCTCCATGTCAGCACCGACCAGTTCACCAACAAAATTATGTTCAATTCTTCCACACTTGTGAGATCCGTCCAGAATCTGAAGAAATTTGTGACGTCATATATATACGGTTAAGCATTTCTATAATTACAGGAACCACAGACATCTCAATGAAAAATTGTAATGATGCTGATAGAAGTCTTAAAAAAATATAAACCTACAAACCTCTAGACAACCGTTGCCTTTGTGACATCTATCTACAGCTATAAATACTGTCATCATATCGGGAAATAATGCCGTGTTTCGATACCAATACCTACAGAATACAAGAAGAACATTGTCCGATGACAACGGTAGCGTTATTCGAAGCACCACGATTAGGTAATGGTCAATGAACTGACTCTTTGGTAGTTGCCAGAAAAGGTATTCTAAAAATATTCCAAGCCACAACGGCAGCATATGATGCTCCAATACAACTAACTCTGTGGCGTTTTTTTTGGAATACCTGATGTCATCCTGGGAATTGGTTTTTCAACTGGACCTCTTTTCAGATTGTCTATACATAACTGAGCATTTTATTTGGGTATCACATTTTCACCGATGCAAAACTTTTCAGCTCGATGGTAATACCTCAGACAAGAGTAGTCACTTGAACATGCTTAAGGATGTCCAAATAAGATGCTAATGAAAAACCTCACCCATAATCCTGATGCCAAGCATGCCGTCCACCAACTTTAGCTAATTTCATCATCACTTTAGCATGGTAATGGTACACCTCGCCGCCAAGAAGCTGAAATAATATGCATGTGATTTTCATATTTATGAACGTCAAAATAATGAGATCATTTCTAAAGGAAATAAATCCAAATCTTAAATCTTGTCCTCTTAAGGAACCATTTTGTATCAATAAGTTTGTAAATGCAGTGGGCGGGGGTGGGGACAAATATTTGAGATTGCCCAAATCTCTAATCTAGTTCTCTCTACCACACCCCAACCCTCCTCCTCCCCTCTTGCGCTCCGTCACTACACCAATTTGGTCTCTTCCTTCGAGTAGAATGCCAGGTAAACAAATCCAATAGTATTGTGGCAACTGCCAGCATCATATATTAAGAATCGCGGGTTGTTTGGAAATGCTTGAATTCTTAAATCAAGTTGTCGTGTCAGAACAACATATACCTCGTCCTTCAAACTTTTAATTTAGCATTGTAAGAAAAACAACAAAACAATTGACGTAATGTTTTTAATACAAGACAGACCTATTCCAATTTTCATGATTTATGAACTCTTTAACAGACAAATATCGAGAACTGTAGCTTCAACCAAACCGAGATGTCTATATCAACAGAGACGTTTGGCCTTGCGTTAATCTCGAAAAATATAATGAAAATGAAATGAAATTAAAATGAATGGAGTTTTAGGTCCTACTTTTCTGCACCACATTAGGTTAATGAAGACGGGCAACGCCATGTAATGTACAACGAGGGAAATTTTTGCCTGGATAGTGGCATTGGGCTACTCTTTTTCCGATTTCCAACTGGTCTTTAACGTGCACAGCCAGTAGCAAAGTGCCTCTAAATATTTGTTTTACTAGCTGATTAATCCCAAATGAAGCCATCTATATCACTTTCCAGAACGAAAATCTGAAAAACGTTCGTCTACTACTTAAAAGAGGAGCATACGAGACGCGGACTTTGTCATTGTTATTGCATTGAAGAACTGAACGATTTTTATTCTAAAGACAATACGGATAACTACATGTACTATATTCAGCGTAAGGCGACAATATTCCTTATATCATGCATGGTAACAAAATTGACAAATCTGTGTACAAAAGGAAAAGTTAATTCTAGTTTCATGTATATTAAACTGCTACGCACAAGACCACCCCCCACCCTTTTTTTAAACGAAAGAAAAACTTAGTTGTTATTCAAAGTATGCTAAATCGAAGTCAAGTTAAATTTTCAGCACTATCAAATCGTTTTCGCCCAGTTTAACGTCACGCCAAATGCCCCTACACTGAAAATTTGTATAAAAGACACACGTATCCAATTATCACGCTAACATGCGTTTCTCATTCACGTGTACCTGGTCGAAGGCTTTTATCTTATCTATAACAACAAGTACACTTATAGTCTCAATCAACCAGTCTAACTGTGTTTACGCACAAATGCAATGAAATTTGAATACGAGAGAATTGTGGGTGTAAAAGACTACGGTTCCATAATTATGTTTAATATGACAGTCGCAGTTTGTCTTCCATTCTATAGTACGTTATACTTAGCTATAGCTTTGACTACCTGGGGTTCAAGTATATCTTAGGTCATTGTTCACCAGACGCTTTGCCCATTAGCATTACTGGATCGATAGATATTTCCATCAAAAGCCGTAGATTACTAGCGCGGTTGACAGGTCTGATTCCATCGTTTATATCGAGCTGTTCAAGAGATCTCTCAGCTCCAAGGTGTGTAAGAGACACATTCTTTCAATTTCAGTATTTCCCCGTCATACTAAAGTAGTGGCTATTGCAGTCAGGGTAAAAGTACGTAATAGTTTGTGAAAATAAAATAAAGACCGATGCCAAACATTTCCTTTGCATGTTGCTCACCTCTTCACATGTTCCTGCAACTTTCTTCGATCTCGAAATCATACCAGTGACGTCATCTCCAGGATGTGCCCAAAGAGTTAGTCTTGCAAATCGGTTGTCTCCGTCGTCTACCTGAAACGATCCGGCATCCAATTGGCTAGATATCAAAAATATTGAACACAATAATAGGGAATTCGCAGAATAAAAAGATTATGGAGTTGACTCAAATTTTTGTTTTTTTTTTCTACGTTTCCGGTTTTTCCGGTTTGACAGTTTGGATTGTTTGTCAGTTTTCACTCGATTTGATTTCGTCAGTTTTCACGAATTCAATTTACCGACGTAATGGAGCCACAAACTCCTTCAAAACATCCAAAGTTTCAATTTATACCAGGATATAATCTATATACCAACCACTGCAGAAACCCACTTACTTTTTGAGAATGTTCGGTGACATCGGCACTTTTTTCCAGCGAATTCTTTAACTTATCCAACTCTTGTTCGCTCAATAATTTCCTGCAGAGAAAGGATCAGTTAATAAAAAGTGGTGATGGGAGGACGGGGAACGGGGAACGGGGAACTAGCTATGCAGAGGTATGTCTTGAAGGACCAAAGCGACCTTTGGCCGCTGGCGAAATATCTGAGGTTGCACGAATTCCTAACCTAGTTATGAGAGTCATGCCCGAAAAACATGCATTCGGGGCTGCGATTGATATGATTTTATATATATGCATGGAGGTCAACCCCAATTGGTCCTTTTTTAGTAGTCTCAATTGCTTTGAAATGTTTACCCCATTGCCAAATTTAGCTTCCTTGGAGGGAATTCTGTATCTGATGACTGAAACACGTATTAGCAGCATTATTCAGATCTATTTAATACAAAATTCTAATAGAAAGATTCAAAACCACAGTCGATTGTTACAGTATTAGTCCGGCTTGGAGTACGACCGGAAGTGATGTGAGATATGATTCAAGGTACGTACCTGACCATGATATAACCGTGTTCATTGAAACACATCTTCACATCATTGGAAACCACAAACTCATCAGTGTACTGGAATTCTGGAATAGATGTTGCAAGAGATGAAAGCCAAAGGGAACTCCGATTCCGCCACGGTGGTTTCTAGGCTCCCGTGCCAATTTCTACAATATTGAATCGACTACAGCTCTTTAATTTGTATAGATAGACGACAGCAAGGATACAAAATACCACAGACTGATCAAATGGCTTAACGACCTTAACTTATCAAATTACATTCCATTTAACGCAATGCTCAAAGACGATAATTACCTTTAATAGACATTCTGAAAAGTCTGTTTTCATTCCAAGCTTATAGCTTTCTTCAGTGCACTCGATGATATCGGCCCATCTATGATGTGATATCGACCTCATATTATGTTGTTATCATTTATGATAATATAGATAACAAACTTGTAAATACCGGTAACAAAGTTACATGAACATTTGAAATATTTGTATCAAAGTCGTCCTGAAGAGTTGGATAAAAGGCGAAGGCGAAAATATTCATAAATGAATGAATTGGGTTCTTAAAGATGAGTTCCCTTATTTTCATTATTTTTTTATATGAATAGAAAGTAGAGTTGTTCTAAACACTTGAAAAAATACTAGTTTGTCATGTCCATTATTAATTCATTATTAGCCAAAACAGAAGAGGATTACCAGCAGAATTCCAATGAGTGACAGATCAAGAAAGGTCAAAAAGTCTTTTTTGTTTATCTAGACTGTACATTCATGGAAATTTATGATTGGTTAAAACTCAAAATTATATACAATAAGAACACAATGATATGATTAAGAATACATGATAATTCATCAGAAACACCAATTAATCAACTAGTTTGCTTAATGTCAAAAATAAGGAAAACCATCTTTAAAGCACACATTAGTCCAATATTCACTTTACAATGTCAACAAAAGCCATATTGTTGAACACTGGGAGGAAAGATAGGTCCCGTGTATAATACTGGCACATTATGTTCCCCCCTTAACAATACCGACGTTTTATTAACAGCATAGTTACTATAGCATTAGTGGATCAAACTCTATGGAGACTAGTTGAACCATGCCCACGGGCCCCTTTCCGACATGGGGGTCCCCACCCCCCAGAAACAGAAAAAAATGAAAAAAAAATGTACCAACGTATAAAATTATAATCAAACTAAGTAACCAGCAATATATAAATGATATCTTCCATTAACAGGCATTGAATTTACTTACAGAGAGGTCTCAGAGGAGCATATGTTTTTTAACATTAAAAAACTAACACCTGAGTCCAGGGGCCCGTATACATCTAGTTGAGCCACTTGGTTGTCATTATACGGGAAAATTAAATAACTGTAGTCTGAATAAAATATTCTATATTAGAGTCACCTCCCTTAGATCTAACCTGGAAGCCCGCTAAAATAGCTTTTTCTAATTTGGTGTAGTTTGAAATTACAGTTAATAACTAGTTTTTCATTCAAATTAAAAAATCTAAATCAAAATGCTCAATTTGTACAAATATGTACATTGTAATGTAATGAGTGGATGGTTGGCATAGAGTGTGAGAAAGATTAAGTGTGTGAGAAAAGATGAAGAGACAGAGTGCGAAAAGGTTTATGGAAAGATTTGAGAAAAGATAAGAGAAAAATTGGGAAAAAGAGTGCGAGAAAAAAAAAGAAAAACATTAAGAGTGTGCGAAAAGATTGAGAAATGCTTAAGAGAAAAAGTGTGAGAAAAGATTAAGAGAAAGAGTGTGCGAAAAGATTAAGAGAAAGAGTGTGCGAAAAGATTAAGAGAAAGAGTGTGCGAAAAGATTAAGAAAAGATTAAGAGGGAAGAGCGTAAGAATAGATTGAGCGAAAGAATGTGAGGAAAGATTAAGAAAACCGATAAAAGCACATAACGTTAATTTTGCTGCAACAAAACATTTACAGTTATAGTGTCTGATTTGAAGCAACGGCTGACAGTTACACAAGACTTGTTGTCAAGAACAGACTATAACTATTTTAATTCAACCTATATCAATTAAAAACTAACTCATTGATTTGTAGACGAACGAGGTGTTAGACTTTTTGACGCTACGGATGGCCAAAATAAACTATCAAGATCAAAATGCTCATTTGCATAAATGTAATGTAATGAGTTGATGGTTGGCCTTAATAAAAGTATAAAACAATACAGAATATCTAAATGTAGACCAAACTGTCGTAAACGTGTCAGAACTGTCCATCATTTTGATTGATGTGTTTTGTTTGGCTCGAGGTAATGGCAACCAAAATGTTTTATGCCCATGTATGGCTCTCCTAATTTTTCAATGAATGGGATGTCTGCATAGTTTGAATTCAAGGAGAGGCTGACATAATGCACATAGATTAATGTGATTTTAATTGGAGGTGGAGCTTAATTTTGGAACACAATTAATCTGATTGAAATGCACATGCATGTAGATAAAAAGTAGGTCATGTGTTCACATTTAGGCATGAATCAATGCACAAGTGTTACATGCTTAAAGCTCTAAGGTTCAATGTCCAAACTTTATTGAATTTGAGCTGTTTAAAAAGTACTGTGACGGTTTCTTGAAATTTTGCTTGGTCGTGGCTAACTGACATTTGTCAAGGTGTAGATCAGAGTTCCGGATTATGAAAAAAATAAATGAACTTCACCCAATGACACACTTTTAAAAACTTAAAAAAGCTGCATTGTGAAATGTCAAACGAATTTCAATTCTTTTGTTATTACTGGCATTTATAGTCATTTAACATTCGTAGTAATTTCAAGATCAAACGCGAAGGTTCTATGTATTTATATTGGACAACAGACTGCAGACGAACAGGAAGTGACGTGGGTTTAAAATGTTGTGCGTATTTTAAAGGACAAATCCTGCAAAGATTGAGATTGAGTTGGGCAGGGAGTGTTGAAGGAATGACAGTGAAATACTTTTTAAAATGCCCAATCATAATAAATCCTGTTGTTTCGTTTCGTGGTTTTTCTGTGGGCGTCGCCACTGGTCATCTATAATCTGATGAAATTGGCATGCAGCTCACGTTCTAGATCAGTTAATATTCAACCAATCAAATGCTCTGATCAATAAGATTTCCTTACTTATGTGAACAAATTAGAGATATCCATTATCATTTTTACTTTGTCTGATTTTGCTTATAAACTGAACAATTAATATCATTGATTTCTTGAAGGATCGAAAGTATTACTTCAAGGGCTAGATGCCTAACCAACTCGTGCACGTTTGGGAATCAAGACGACCATAACCGAATTAAAAGCCTCCCCACGAAAAAAAAAAAGCAAGGCAACAATACAAATGTCTTCTGTACTTTTAACAATATATATTGTTTTCTTGGCCTTGACCAAAGTATTGACTTACTTTTTGTTTTTACCCACATTGAGATATTTTTAGTGACAGTTACATACTAACATGTATTCATTGTTCAACATACTTCTATTGTTTAAAATTGACATATGACATTTTGAGCAAGGGTTGTAGCGCAGTTGGTTAGAGTGTTAGAATATTTTCATGACGTCATTTGCTTTATTGCGTCGAATACATGGTGTTCGTGGGTTTCAATCTTGGTATGTGTATGAAAATACGGTAAGTCATATTCCCCAAGAATTTTAACTTCGAAATCAGTCATAGCAATATATGAACGGTGGTTTTAAAGGAATACTACCCCTTAGAATAAACATATTTTTTTATATAAATCTCAAAAGCTGACCAATAAGAGTATACATGTATATTCATTAGTGGACTAACCTTGTGTCATGACTACGTTCGAATCCCTTTAAAATCCGATAAATCTCTCATGCATATGCAATTTTATTGGTCAAGTTTTGGAATATGAATATTCTGTTCAATCTTAGAGTAGTTCCTGTAAGGAAATGGATTAAAAGGCACGACCAACCAGACACTTTTTAATTTTTCATCCCTATGTATAAGTTCATTCATAAATGCACGTCAGTGTCTGATTAAGCTGGGTAAATTGACAGGTATTAATTGATTAGCCTCGTGGGCATACGATAAAACGGTATACAGTCTGTTATCACCCATCTTCATTCAGCAAGGGTTTAAGAAATTGATTTAGCAGTGCATCTTCTTATACCTTGACTGCAATAGCCGCGATTTGTTTGGGTTGTATGTGAGTCAATACAGCCAATCAGAGTCCTCAACAGAAAATCTGTAGACAATAAGCCATAAGTTTACTTCTGTTCTGATTGGATGTATTCGCTGGCATACAATCCAATCAAATCGCTGCACTCGTAATAGCTTGGCATCGCATGCTTTTCGAAAAGGGCGCACTTGGCTGATCCCATTTAAAGGTTATTGTTTTCTTAGACTACGACAGATTTAGGACGGAGTGACTGAGACTATTTTTGTACAATAATTATTTAATTGATTAAACATCTTTGTTTTTGTAGAAATACTCAAGAATCCAATACTCGACATAATTTCTCATTAAAGGGGTCTATTCCTTTAATTTGATTTAAAATCATTCCCATAATCTTATAAGCTCAGACAGATGCTGAAAAGTAGGACGTAAAACTCCATTTCATTTCAGTCCTACCTAATCTGAAATACCCTTTAAGTTCGTTAAATTCAATTCTGCAGTGCTGGACCAATAAAAATGTAGCATTTCAAACCTCTTCTAAAAACGAAGCATTTGATTGGTTGAATTCATAAACATGCTTTATAGGAAAAAGTCTTAAGATCATAGTAGGTGTGAAACATCCCCAACAAAAAATTAGCATAGCGTTAAAAAAACAGAAATTTGAAGATATCATCCCTTGAATACACATGGAACCACTAGAATTATTTTGCCTGGAGGTCTGTCGATACTGGAATTGATGGTACAATGGTAATATATGTTATTATATTGACAGAATTGCGCCTAATTATGTTGACTCACATTTCCTGTCTTGTGTACTTTAGATTAAATATCAAAAACAAATATATTCGTTTCACTTCCTCTTTCTTGAAATTTTAGACAACCAAACCTTGCAACTTTCTTTATAGAAGCAAAGCATTTGTGAAAATTGTAGAGATAACTTCTAAACAGTTTATGTGCACCAGGCACACTGATAACACCGATTTGCATCATTCCAAGTAAAAAAAATATATTACTAGAAGCTTTTGAGAAAGTGACGTCATACTGTGAAGTATTTCTGTAATTACAAGAACCACAGACATCTGATAGCAAATTGGAATGATGCAAAAAGTAGCTTTGATGACCCCGATACACATAGGGTAGCTGGCTATTTAGTGCAATCGATCAAGGATTCTGAAAAGGGCAATCGTATATACTGGATAACCGTGTCTGGAAATCTGAAACTTTCGAAAAAATGCGTCATATTATGCCTGGTTGTCAGAGCCTATAACGAATCTAGCGTCTTATTATCAAAATCTATATCCAGCTATACACCAGTTCGTTTCCCTTCCAGCAGGATAGTATATCATTGTAAATATCTATATGATAGGTATCGAATAAGTCTGGTGACCTCGGTATTTTGAGGATAAAGCTATTAATCACGGAATGTATTTCAAATAAAGTTTGATTTATCTGCCGCCTTCATAAACAATCGATTTCAAAATGAACTTTTTCCTCTGAAATATTTATTGGAAAATGAACCATGCATAAAAAAAAAGTTTGCTTTCGCTTTTTGGAAACGTCGTTAAATAGAATTGCATTGCTAAGCCATTCAGGTGCCAACGTTCTTCGCATGTATTCGACGATGTCACCTTTTTAAGAAATAGCTGGAGGGTATCGGAAGCAAAGCAATTCAATGCCATTCTGCGATTGGGATTGTCAACTTGTTACAATTTTCAAACGAGTCCAAAGTTCGCCCGATATTCAACCACATGTGGGAAATGTTCCGTGTCGTTCCGAAAATACAACACAAGGCCTAGGTGTGCTACAAGCAGGCACTTAATAGTTCTACATAGACGTATGTCGATGTCTTGGCAAAGTGTACAACGGCGTTTGCGCCATTATAAGCCCTTTGGTGTTAAAAACGGAAGACCTTCAACTCTATTACATACTATTCTTACTAAGGTGCAAATTCCATTTAATAATAAAATTATCTAAGTTTTAACACATTATTGTCACTTATGCAACGTGATAGTAGAAGTGTCTAAAACAAGTCATTTGTAGTGTACTTTTCATTTAAATAGCTCTTTATTTCAAACTGTTCAAGGTTACAAGTAGGACTGTAAGGGCATGTTCAAGACAATTATTTAAAATGAATTCGGGTGGTTGGAAGAGGTGGAAGTTGGAAGTGATGACCGTCTTTGGTACTGAAATCCACGAAGTTCCAATTTGAATCATTTCGTAATGATTTTCAACGGCATGGTTCTGTAAATAATGGAAGGGACACCCGACAGAAGCCACAAAAATCCGCTTTTCCGCTTATTTTCGGAAATGTGACCATTATGAATAATATTTAACGTTTTAACCCGAATCTAAATCTTTACCAAGTCTCACTTGACTCGAATTAAAATCTTTACCAAGTCTCACTTGACCCGAATTAAAATCTTTACCAAGTCTCACTTGACCCGAATTAAAAACTTTACCAAGTCTCACTTGACCTGAATTAAAATCTTTACCAAGTCTCACTTGACCTGAATTAAAATCTTTACCAAGTCTCACTTGACCTGAATTAAAATCTTTACCAAGTCTCACTTGACCCGAATTAAAAACTTTACCAAGTCTCACTTGACCCGAATTAAAATCTTTACCAAGTCTCACTTGACCCGAATTAAAATCTTTACCAAGTCTCACTTGACCTGAATTAAAATCTTTACCAAGTCTCACTTGACCCGAATTAAAATCTTTACCAAGTCTCACTTGACCTGAATTAAAATCTTTACCAAGTCTCACTTGACCTGAATTAAAATCTTTACCAAGTCTCACTTGACCTGAATTAAAATCTTTACTAAGTCTCACTTGACCTGAATTAAAATCTTTACCAAGTCTCACTTGACCTGAATTAAAATCTTTACCAAGTCTCACCTGACCTGAATTAAAATCTTTACCAAGTCTTACTTAACCCGAATTAAAAACTTTACCAAGTCTTACTTGACCTGAATTAGTCTCACTTGACCCAAATTAAAAACTTTACCAAGTCACACGGAAGAAATCAGAATATTGCGACAGTAAATCATAATTATAGACAAGGATATTGTCTTTTAAACCGCTTCATCAATTTAACAATAAAAAAACTATGTATCACAATAAACCATACGGGTGTGGTAATAATCAAAAATTAAAGGTATTGCTTTCTCTAAATTACTAAGACGGATATAAGTTCACCAACCTGGAGGTTGAAGTTCAGCACTGTTGAGATACTACCTTCAGAATTTTCAACCCGGTTTACTCTGTCAGTATACAGGTCGCAAGGACCGAGCTGGAAAGATCGTCTAATATAAAAATGGCATTATCACCAACGTTATAAAAAATCTCATATCTATAATTTTAGTAGTGTATAAACTAAGTACTAACGATCTGAACCGCAAAAATAAACCCGAAATCCTTAACAACATAACTTTTCACTTGAGGAAGTATATCAATCATAAGTGAGTAAGTATTTCATAATGAAAAGTGATATCAGGTGTCTAGAAGAGGGCGATAGTCTAGACATTTATAAAACATTGTAAGGTATAAAAATGCAATTTGAAACACAACACAGTGAAAATAACAAGTAAAAAAACTCCAATTCATCACAGTGATAGAAATACGTAAACTTGGATTCTTTCATATTATATTGTCGAATCATTCAAATCTATTATTTATGTTCGAATTATAGCTAAAAACGTACATTCGAAGGCGTATCCAATTAAGATCATCGGGCTATTTAAGTCAACAATATAACAAAGCAATTTCCTTCTAAAATACAATAAATCATAACAGTACAACCTAATAGATATAAGATTTAATAAGATTTAATAGAGGTTGTCAGCAAGGTTGAGATATTACTTCCCTTCTTTTCATTATCTTAATCAATATTATGAGACTTCGTGATAATGAGTTCATTGGCACAGTAAACTTGAACTTGAACACACAGTTTCTAAGTTTGTGAAGTCAATCCCAATCTAAACATAATTGACAGAAAAAATGAAAGTGAAGGTTAAGAGAATGAGAAAAAAATAGAGAAAGAGTGTGAGAAAAGATTAAGAAAACGAGCCAGAGACAAGATTAAGAGAAAGAGTGTAGGAAAAGATTAGGAAAAAGAGTGTAGGAAAAGATTGAGAAAATGAGTGAGAAGAAAGATTAAGAGTCATAAACAAGATTAAGAGAAAGAGTCAGAGACAAGATTAACAGCGTGAGAAATGATTAAGAGTGATAGTATGGGAAAAAAACAGCAGAGAAAGAGGGTGAAAAAAGAGTCAGAGAGAAAGAGCGCAGCGAAAGGGCGTGAGAAAAGAGTCAGACAAAGAACGTAAGAAAGATGGGTAGAAAAGAGTAAGAGAAAAGAGCATAGAGAAAGAGCGTGGGGAAAGAGTAAGAGAAAGAGGAGAAAAGAGTGAGAGAAAGGTGGGGGAGATTAAGAGAATGAGCGAGAGAAAAAAGTGATAGAAAGAGTCACAGTGGTCAACGAAATAACCGGAAATTGTATATTTCGTGCACTTTTATTATAATCGTAGTGTTAACGTTTACAATTTTTCAATATTATGCTATACAGGCTGAAAATTAATACTACTTCGATTCTGTTGACTTGTAGTGACTACCGCTTGAAATATCTTGACATTTTAGACAATATATCAAAACATGGAAATCATTAGCATAAAATAGCCCGTGGTCAATTGAAAATGACCAATATATAAATAACTTACTGGCCTGTGGTCAAGTAAAAGTGACCAACATAATGTAAATAAATGACCTTTCTCGTATTTATAGAAACGGCTTTGTTGACGTTTTACGACTGAATTCGTTATACTATTTTAGTTGAAATGGTAAACAGATCACTTATTTTTCGTTTCCAGTGTAAACAAGTCTATCATCTAAGTTCCGGGTCATTATTCAGATCTGCGTCCGTGATTTATGTTAACTTTATAATGGAGCTTTATGGACTCGATAAGGATGTTTATTTTTTTTTGGGGTGTTTTTAAAGAGTGTGCACCAACTTCATAAAAAAAGAATTTGGATTAAATACTTTTCTCCCAGTGTTCAATAGAGCATGGTGATTTTTCAAGTGTTCGGACAGATCACCGGATGTTGCCCACTGACAATTGCTCACCAAAGACGTGAACAATTTCGCCTCACCTTCTGCCGCATCCCCACCCCCTTAGCTATGGTCTAAATTACAAAAAGAATTTAGTCGTTCAGATGAGGCAAAAACCCTTGGTCCCGTGTTCTAGACTAAGTTTATCGTGGTAGATATGCAAATTTTGCCATGTCCCTCCAAATGTTCAATCTTGAGGACATGTGCAGAAAAGTAGGCCTTAAAAACACCATGTTATTTATTTCTTTGTCTCTATTCATTATTTCACCAACATCTGTCGAGTCAAACCAGTATTTGGCGCATTTACTCAAACATTAAAAGGGCATTCCGCTTTTTGTGGGTCGAATTTTTTGTAGGACAAATTTGTTAAAACTAAACACAAATATCAAGGTGTCCATTGACGTATCTGAAAGTTTTAGCCAAAGCATCCAGCCATTTATTTTTTTAAACGTAAACTATTTCAAAAGTTTACGTAAACGTTCGTTATGCTTTATGGAAGCTGTTAGAGACTAATGTGCGGATTTAGTAAATTGAATAAATAGCATAATTATTTAAAAAATATTTATGAAGTTTTTGTTAATTGAAATTTCGCAAAATGTCCTTTATAGACTATGGTATAATACAGCTATCATAAATTTGAACAATTTTTTTTCAATCTACGAAAAAAACAGAATGTTCCTTTAACTAAAATGACAGAATTCCATGTTGGTTTTTTATGTTTTTAGTTTGTAAACAGATATGAAATTTAAACATCTATAAATTATTTTTTAGTGCAAAAAAGTCACAATTTAATCCCCGTTTAAAATGTATATGATTATGCAACTTTCAAATCACTCAAAATAAAAGTACATTAAAGGGATGTATTTGTCTCTATCTTTGCCCTCCCCCCATTTCTCACTGCCTTCTTCCTATCTCTCTTTGCCTTCTTTCTTCTTTCTGTTTCTCTTTGCTTTCTCTCTTCTACCTCTTCCTTTCTGTCTTCTATTTCTCTTTGATTTATCCTTGCCTTCTACCTATTTCTCTTTGCCTTCTTAGTTCTTTCTACTGCCTTCCCTCTAAATCGCCCTGCCTTCTTTCTATCTATATCTTCCTTTTTATTTCTCTCTGTCTTCCTTTCTAATTTCTCTGACTTCTATTATTTATTTCTGCCTTCTTCATATTCTCTTTGCCTTCTCTCTTATTTGTGTCTTTGCCTTCTTCATATTCTCTCTGCCTTCACCTATTTCTCTTTGCACTTTTGCCCTGCCTCACATAATTTTTTATCTACCTTGTATTTCTCTCTGTCTTCTATTTCTCTGTCTTCTTTTTGTTTAATTAACAAGTTTCTCCTTCGACAAATGTCGCTTGGGGTGGTACATGGACACTACTTTTCAGTTATATATCTCTATCTAAAATAGTGCACATCTTGACGACACGCCGTCGAGAAAACCACCTTAAAGTAGTGATAATCTGGTCGACTTCCGTCTGAGTTTAAGCCTCAATTTTTCAACTCGATTAGTTAATGTTTTCAAAAGATTATCCGAATCCGACCCGACAAGATATAATCTTACTTGAAATTGTAGGACAAATAAATCGTAATCCTTACGTAGTTTTTTTTGCACAAATTATTTGGTAGTCCGAAACATACATACAAACGGCGTGAATTATAATGTACATGTAATGGTAATTTAGAAAAGCTCTTAACCATCCCTTAAAGAACAGACGCAGTGTGAACACTGTGGGAAAGAGTTTGGGACTACCTCATGAGTTCGATTAGGTCATTGATTGAGATTTGTACTTAAGTTTTATAATCCGGTTCGCTATTGGCAATGCTGTAGGAAAAGAAATTTTAATACGACGTTTCTACAATACTTCACTGCACATTTTTAAACGAAACAAATGACGTTTAATCGCCATTGCATTTCTCAATGATCAAAAGGGCAAACTTCATATTTTCAAGAAAAAAGGGCTATTCTATATAGCAGGCCCTTCGAAATGAATTGTTTTTGAGAACAGAATAGTCAAAAAGAACATAATGAAAAACTTAAATGGCACAATTTAACAGCTTTCTCCCAATGTATCTATAAATGAAATCCCAGTTGGGAAGTGGAATCAGGTGTCCTATGTCCTACGTCACAACAAAATGTCGATGACGAGGAATGATCAAATCAAATGCGACGAATTCAATTATTCTGCTCTTAATTGTGCTACTTGAAACACCCTGCAGTGGGCAATGAGTGAATTTTTAACCGGAGATTTCCCTTTATAACTACCAAACTGTGTCGTGTTGTTTTTTAAAAAGTCGTTGACTTTGAAATGTTTTCCCGTATACTGTCATATATTATTTATAATGTGGCCTTAATTCCCGTTATTGTCACTCTTCTTGTCACCGGAGAGAAGATAAAAAAATGTAAGAATGCTGGCAAACAATGTCACTACCCTGATGTGGCATATTAAAAAATGGCTTGGCCTGGAGTCAAGGATATTTGACCGAGTAAAAAACATAACTGTGCCTGAGTTTTGCGCCCTAATTTTTTTTTTGCTCCAACGATTGGGCTATTGAATTCCAAGCAATGGAAATTTGCGTCATTGCAGTGTGCCATGGGGGAAATTTTGCCAGGACAGCAGCATTAGTCGGCTCTTTTTCGATTTCCCACCGTCCTATTTTCTTCAGACTGTACATGTTAAAGACCCCTCGACTGTTGGGCGTTGCCCATTTTCATTAGTACAAAACAGACGCAGAACAATAGGACGTCTACTAGACATCTCGGCTAGACTCTTATCTATATAGTGTCTATTTCTAGCATGTTTA